TCTTTCTTTCTCTCTCTCTTTCTCTGTGTCTCTCTTTTCTTCCTTTCTCTTCCTTCCTTTGTTCCTTCTTTCTTTCTTGTCTCTGTCTCCCCCACTTACTTTCTCTTTCCTTCTTTCTCTTTCTTTCTCTCTCTCTTTCTCTGTGTCTCTCTTTTCTTCCTTTCTCTTCCTTCCTTCGTTCCTTCTTTCTTTCTTGTCTCTGTCTCCCCCACTTACTTTCTCTTTCCTTTTTTCTCTTTCTCTCTCTCTCTCCCTCTTTCTCCCTTTTATTCTCTCTTACTTTCTCTTTCTCTCTCTCTCTCTCACGCCCACTCTCTCTCTCACACAAACATACTTTCCAGTTGGCGAAAATTTCTGTTTTGCCAGCTGGGAAGCTGGCAAAGAAGCCTCATTTTCCCTGCCACCTGCAGCTCTTGGAGGAAGGATGAAGGGAAGCGAGCCCCGGGCCTCATCACTGCCTCCTTCCTTGAGAGCTTCTTCGAGAGCTGGGGACGTCCAGCCTCTCCCATCACTGCACCCTTCACTCACCTTTCACGCAGAGGATCTGCCAGTGTGGTGCCTGCCATTTCAACTCCCGAGAGAAGCTCGGGAGAGACATGCAAATGGCCGCAACTCAAGACTCCTGAGGAGGATGCTGGACACCAGAGGTGGCAGTGGCGCCCACTGCGGCTCTTCTGCTGCTCCCAGTAATGCAGGCTTCTTGGAGAGCATTAAGTTGCAAGCACACCGATTCCAGCAGCTGTGTTTTCCCTTGAAATTTGCTGTCCCAGCAACTTGAAGGGGACAATCTCCCAGTGGCATCTCAGGCACTCCCACCCTTAGCCGCGAGGGAGTGAGGACAGCTAGGTGCAGTTCCCACCTAGATCATTGAGGGGGCTTGCGCGCCTGCTCGCCCACATGTCCTGCGTGCTTCCAGCAGAAATGGGAAGTGTGGGGATCTTAATGTAGTAGGGCGGGGGAAGCTGGAGCGGGAGGTTAAATAAACAAATTTGGCTTCGCTTCCTTGCGCGGCAAGAGAGAAAGGTACCTGAGACACTCCTGGGAGAATGTCCCCTTCAGATTGCTGGAACAGCAAGTTTCAAGGCAAACTCAGCTTCCTTGCACGGCAAGAGAGAAAGTTGCCTGAGATGCCCCTGGGAGAATGTCCCCTTTGGGTTGTCCCCTTACCATCCCTCTGCCGCCGCCCCCTTGCCTCTTAGCGCCCCCCCTGCCACCCCCTTGCCTCTTAGCACCCCCCTAAGTCATCCCACCCCCCCAGGGGGGCGGTACTGCCCACTTGGGGAATCACTGGTCTATGCAAAGCTGATCAAGAAGCTGATTAGAGGACTGGCACCACAAATGGCAGAAGATATGAGACTGTTTTGCTATTGGAAAGATACAGGTTGATAGAGGGAGGAATATAATTTAAAACTAGTTAAACTTAGTGAAATGTATTGATAATAGATATAGCTTAAGTAAATAACTGATAATGTTACTAATGTGCTAAGCCAAGATG